TCCCCTTTCGTCTATATGACCGGACCCTGACGTCCGACCCTGACCGTTTCCCTTTTCGGTTACTTTACTTTACCCTGACCCAGACCCCGACCCTTGTCGCGCCCCTTTCCCTTTTCGGTTATATTGCCCGACCCTGACCTAGACTCAGGACCCTGTCCCGTCTCTATCCCTTTTCGGTTATATCACAGGACCCTGACCTAGGTCTTGTACTATACTGGGCCCAGCCTCGACCAGACGCGTTCCTTTACAGTCTCCTCATACCTCCCCACTTTGGTCGGTTACCTTTCCCTTCCTAATACGGTCGGTACCCCATAGTATATAAGGAGGCCTGTAGTCGGTAGAGGCTCCCCACTTCTGTTCTCCTCTTCGTTACCTCCTGTATCCCTATATCCCTCAATCTAGGGACTTGTGCGATACTCTCTCCCCGTGTGCTACACCGCGTACTTGGATAAGTCCGCGTGATAAGTCTGGATAGACTTGTGTTAGTACTTCAGCGTAACATTAGGAGGGAAAAAGTTGTCGAGAAACGGGAGGGATGGGTCTGGCTTTATGCCTCGTTCGTAATGATGTGTTATAGGTGTCAGATGACGTCGCACGTCAAGCTGTCGGGGGGCTGAATCGGGACAGGGCGTCAGTCTGCCCTAGAGGGCTGTGCGATATTCTATGCATGGACCTTTGGGGCAATTCATCCTGCAAATGTTAGTTGATTCCCCTTCAATTGGGGCTAAGTATAATTCACGCCAATTTTGAGTGCCATGGCCAATCGAGCCAACCGTAGCCAACCATTTTGCACTTTTGCTGATGGACACCACTGCCTCCCATCCGAGCCAAAAAGATTGAATTTTGACTCATCTGAGTAGAAGACCAAGCGCCACTCTGCATCACCCCATTTGCTGGCCTCCTCCACCCAGGTTCTCCACTGCGTCACAACTGAATGGCTAAGGTACGGCTTCTCCCGATGTGCTCGTCCATGCAGGCCAATCTCAGAGAGACTCCTCTGGACAGTGCGAGGGCTGACGGTGGGGAACAGCTGTCGCTGGACATCACTTGCATCACGAGCCGTACCCCTTGCCAGGAGGATCTTGGCATGACAAAGGTCACGGGGGGAGAGGCTGCGAGGGCGGCCAGGCTTTTGGGGACGGAAATAGATGTCCTGGGCCTTTTTGACTATCTTGTAGTTCCGTGAGGCCGTGGAAGCATTGAGGCCGAGGATAGAGCCAATTTCACGGAAGGACTTTGGCTTGCCAAAGCGGGGGTCACGGAAAGCCAAAATGCGAGCACGTTTGCTGGGGGTACACACTGTCATAGCAACAGGCGTGTAGACAAGGATCTTGTAAAGCGAGTAATAAAAGCATATAAGTGTTAGAGGTCATGTTGTCGAAGATGTTGAAGAAGAGTTGCGCCGGTGCCCAGTGCCAGCGCATACCAAATTAGCGCTGAAACATGTTTCTGGCCAATTGTGTAAGCATTGTATTGGAGTTGATATTTATCATCCCAGCACTATACTAGTGGACTCATAGGAATGTATATAACTGCATTTATTCAGTGGTACACTTTGTAGATACGGCGGTACAGCAGGATTTCGGTCGCGCGAAGCGCCGGTGCACTATTTTCGGCAGTCACTGTATAATGCCTTGTTCAGTACCATACATGATCCTATTGTCCGATATGGGCTGCAAAGGTAGGGGATGGTTCAGGATGAGCGACAACATTCGACTGTCCCGAGGACTGGTCAATGACTGTATGAAGGTCGGTAGCTCCTTGTTTGTGTCTTTGAAATCGCGTGCTATCGCCGTGAGATTGACAAATCGAATGCCTGGAGTGTTTAGCGATTTCGCTATGTTTGATAGGACAGTCAAGCTCGACCTCTATTGCTTCGCACTCACGATAACAAACAAAATTTAACAACACCCTCGTCCCATCTCACAGGGCCCTGTCTAATTGAGCGGCTGTGGACGTCACAACATCGCAGGGAAAGGGGTTCCGTCAAGTATAACAAAACGCCTCTTTCACCTTCTCTCCCCCCTCTGCGTCTTCAGTCCGTTTCGGGCTTGCGTCGTCGCATCACAGCTTCGTCTTCAGCATTTTTCCGCGTCCGGCCTGCTCTGCTGTCCCGCCGAGTGCGTGGACAGGCCCATCGTCAACAGCGCGCCGAACGTCCTTTGCACCTCTTTTGTCCTCCCCCTGCACATGCGGAACGTCTGCGACCGGGCCTCTGTCGTCGCTTGGCACCTCGTGAGCTCCTACCGGCAGTATCTCGCTGACGACGTCAACGTGGAGGGCGTAAAAGGAGCCTGGAGCAAGGTCCATGCCCAGCGTCAGAACAAGCTTCTTCGACGTCTCAGGGTCAAAAACGAACTGCTGCTTGCGTAGCGAGCTCTGCCACGGTCTCGTGTAATCACTCGATACCCCTGCGTCGGTCTGCCACCGCACTCGCATAGAGTCTCAAAAGACAATCGCACTAGGGCGCCCCGGCTGGGTCTCTGCAGGCGGGAGCGCCTCGGCCGAGGTACGGAGTGGCGACATCTTCACATTCACGCGGATTCTGAACTCCCTACCGCCGTCCTCCAGCGTATGGTGGAACTCGATGATGATGGTGTGGTGGTGGTGGGAAAGTGTAAGCCAGTGCGTCGTCGGATGATCCTGGTCTGGGCCCCGAAGTTCGGCCGTGTACCCTCTGGTACGAAGGGCGTCACGAGTCTTGCGAAGCAGCATCAGGGAGATCGTCTGATGCGGCTTCCGGAGGGAGCCCGCCGGCGAACCTAGACAGCTCCGTCCAGGGTACCATATGTACACCGTCTTCAGCTGTATCTGAGTCCGACAGCGCTCGATGGTCGTTGGCGACAGAGGGAAGAGGCCAAAGTAGCCAAGCTCGCCCGTTTCCCATTTGAAGCGCGTATAGCCGGAGTACAGGAAGTCGATACCAGAGTCAGATAAGGGTGTTGGAGTTTGCCGTCCGGCCATTGCCGAGTGACCAAATACATACAAATAGCACATCGGTACTGCCAGCTCATCATGTACCTACCTGCTCTTTAGTCCGTATGGCGACGAGCCTCTTCGGTTTGTGTTTGAGGCCTGGGTGGGGCTTTGTTCTGTCTGGGCCTGGAGAGCCCTGAGTGCCAGTTTGGTGCCCTAAACCTCTTGTCTATGTGTCTATGCCTCTCTCTCTCTCGCTCTTCCTTAACTCTATCATTCGCTCTCTGCACTCACTATCTGCGCCCAATTCGCCATCATCGACCAGATCACACCACTGCTGCCAACAAAGGGGATGTAGCAGAATCGACAGAGGAGGTGGTCGGGATAGCTGGCATGTTCGCATCCGAGGATCGCCAGATAGTGATAGTTCCGTGAGGTAGCGCACTCGTCCTCAATACCAGGCAGACGAACCGAGACTGGTATAAGCGGCAACTGGGTTCGGATGCCGTGTGGGGTGAAGGTGTACTCTGCAGCGGGTAGATGGTGGGGAAGGCTGAGACGACGGAAGACGTCCTCGTGAGAGATGGCTCTGATTTTGCCGCACTTTGCGAAGACGCCGAGGTAATCGGTGATAAGAGACTCGAAACGCTCATTCTCGGGTCTCATCGTCACCCAGTCGTTGCGCTGCCAGCCGGGGATTACGGGATAGCGTATATGCTGGGACACCTTCTCGAGGATGTCCTCGCCTGGTTCGATACCATCGTAGACGTTCTCCCAGGCAAACAGGCTCTGATCGGGAACTCGCCGCACGAGTTCCTCTTGTAGCCGACGGAAAGCCAGGTGTCCCTCTCCGTATAGAGTGGGCATGTTGATGTTGACAATGCCGAGGAGAGAGTACGCCCGGTCTTCTACCCTGGTCGTCTCCCGCTTGGCAGCCCATGAGAGTCGTTGGGCCAAACTGAACTCGTCAAGTGACTTGATATGCAGGAGAGCCTCACCAGGGATGCCGGAAATCTCCTCGAAAAGGTCAGCAAGTGAATGCTTCGATCCAATGACCTGCCAGTCATTGGAGAGGAACATGACTCGAACAGGTGCGATGAGCTCCTGGAGCGTCCATCCGCGCGTGTGGTATCGGCTCCGGCGGAAACTGGACTGCGCCGCGCGAGGGTCCTCACCCGGAGGGACGTCTGCGAGGAAGGCGTAGCACGTTGCCGCACGACTATACCAGTAATACATCGAATTGATGGCTTCGGAGAGCTCTGAGCTGCTGGACTTATCGATGCAGCAGGAGTCCACCCAGAAGTATCGGTACCCTGCAGCACGCGCAATAGCGCACGCGTTACGGACCTTCGGTGAGAGCTCTGGGTCGTCCCAAATAGGACTGAGCGGAATGTGAAGATGCTTTGGGTGCAGCTTCGTGATGATGGTCGCTGCAGGAGAAGGGTCTTTGTGCATGGAGCTGGTGTGATATGGGAGGAACGTCATGCTCTCTTGAGCTAGTGAGGGAGATAGCGACGAAAATGGGGACAACGGGGAGGGCGGGACGCCCTGAACGCTTGTCTGAGAATCCTGTGGTTGTGTAGCATACCGCCTTTGGATCTTCTTCAATTGCTTGTACGTGTCCTCGGGAGGGTTGTGGCTCCAGGTATGCGACAGGACAGCGTACAGAGTGTCTTCATGCCCTGGATCTTTCTGGATGAATTGTCCAGTATAGGTGTCTAGAAGACGCATGATGGTCCTTAGACTGAGATGTAGGCGTTCCCTTGAGTAAGTAACGTCAAAGAAATATATGCTTGTACACGGACTGACAGTGAACGAGGATGTTCGCTGGCTAACGCCGACAGTCACGATGGTGCAGATTGTGATGAGTAAGCCTATGGCTACCTACTAACTGCCTAGGTCATAAATCGTCGTCGGGTGAGTAGAACTGGAGATAACTTTGAGTAACTAACACTGGATACCAAATGCTATTTGATGCACAGGTCGTGAAAACACCTCCCCTAGGTGAATAAGACGTATAGATGAGAGGAGACAGACAACATGGTAAGCGCGTGTGCCTCCCATATGACATGCAGGCTTCGACGTGGCTCCTTGACGCCGAGCATATACAACCCCCGCAGCGTCATTAGCCTTGTGATCGACAGATGCTCATCGACTCCCGCTCAAAACCCGGCGAATGATGCATTTGTCGCTACGCCGAATCCCCTTCCTTCGACATAGGCGTACTAGCTCGCTTCCCTGGGTGCTCAGCCTGGCAGGTGCCGTCGTCGTGGACTCCACAACTTGAAGCTTGCTAATGACCGGCATTGTGCTGAGCGTCTTGTCGAAAGTTCACTTCACCGTGACTGATACCAAGCTCTTTTTTTCCCTCCACGTAATGCCTTCCGTGCCTATCCTGAGTCGTCTGTGCCTCTTTCCCACGTGCAGGTGCCAGATGATTTCGTCGCAGCCTGCACGAACGGAGTAGAAGGAAGGAACATACATCTAGCGTTTCTCCGGCGGTAAACGCTTCTACCCGATGAAGGAGAATGACGTCGAAGTGTACCTGTGTCTCAGGCTAGACGGCGATATCACTGGCAATGTCGCTGATTGTGCAGCTGTTTTGATACGCGCCAGTGGGTTTGGGCGAGAAATTATGATAACATGTTCACTTACAGTGCTGTGCATTTAAGAGTGCAACCTGATATGTATACAAACATGTTATACGACCACCGGACCCTGACTAGAACGACAAATCCTTAACTACACTTGTGTTACAGCACTAAGAAGAATCACTCAGAAATCGGCCGTAAGACTCTAGCGTCGCTAGGGAAGCCCGTCGAGGCGGAACACTCCCTTCACTTCCTCCATCCATCTCGTCAGCACAGACTCGGAAGTGGACCCATTGTCCACAGCGCGCTGCAAGACTTCTCGACCTCCTTCGTCCTCTGACTCTGACTCGATGTGCGACGCGCGCGTCTCCCAATCGACGTCGTCCATTGAGAACTCCGACTCTTCTCTCTCTGTTGTCTCGCCGAAAACGTCGACTTGTAAGATGTAGTACCCGCCTCCGCCGTAATTCATGCCAAGTTCCAAAATGGGATACTCCGGTGCAAGGAAAGACAGGCGGACGGGGCGGCGATTGCTGTACCTGACTTGCATGTCTCTTATATAGCTCCATGGGAAAGGTGACTTTCGCCCTTCGCTCGATTCGATGGGAGTTGGAGGAGGGCTGCTCCAGTATAGGATTTGCTCTTGAGAAAAGGGGGCGAGCGAGGTTTTCCATGGTGTTTGGTCCATGAAGTAGACAGGGCTAGCCTGAGGATATGCGTTCACAACGGCCTGGATATCTTCGGCGCCCCCGAGGGGATCAAGAAGCTGCTCAGGTACCTTCGCGTCCACACGAATGCCCAAGCTGCCACCGCCATGCCGGAGAGTATGCCGGAACTGGATGGTGATGGCGTGGCGGTCATTGGATAGGGTTAGCCAGTGGGCGGTCGGGTGGTTTAGGTTCGGGCCACGGAGTTCCGCCGTGTACCCCTTAGCGAGTAGAGCGTCACGTGTCGCCTTGAGCAGGATCAGTGAGATCATCGTATGCGGAAGCCGAAGAGACCCTTGTGGGTATGGAAAACTTCGCTCGGGATGCGATAAATATACTGTTTCAAGCAGTATCGCTTTGTGACAGCGCTTGATGGTTGCTGGCGATACTGGGAAGAGACCGTAGAAGCCAAGCACTTTATCTGGCTGAGGATAGTTCGCAAGCGCAAACCGCGTACGCCCGGAGTACACGACGTCCATGTCGGCGTTGGAGGCAGGAACGTAGCAGAAGCGGCCGAGAAGATGGTCGGGATAATCGACGTGTTCGCATCGGAGGATAGCTAAATAGTGGCAGTTTAGTCGTCTCCTGTAGTCGTCTTTGATGGAAGGAAGGCAAAGAGAGATAGGTATGAGGGGTAATTGTGTTCGGATGCCGTGTGGGGTGAAAGTATAGTCCGCCCTGGGTATACGGAAGGGCTCAAGACGACGGAGGACAGCCCGATGAGAGAGGGCCCTGATTTTGCCAGCGTGTGTAAAACTCTCGACGTCATCAGCGAAGAGAGTCGGGAAATGCTCGTCCTCGTCTTTAGTCCAGGTGTTGTGCGGCCAGCCCGTGATTCGGAGATCATCGCGCAGCACCGTGAGAAGGTCATCGCCCGGATTCAGGCTTGTGTAAACATGCTCCCAAGCAAAGAGGCTCTGATCGGGAACGCGCTGCACGATCTGCTCTTGTAAGCGTCGAAAAGCGAGTGCGCCCTCTCCATAGAGCGTCGGCATATTGATGTTGACAAGTCCAAGTAGCGAGTAAGCTCGGTCCTCCACTCGCGTCGTCTCGCGCTTGGCGGCCCAGGAGAGCCGCTGGGCCAAGCTGAATTCGTCGAGCGACTTGACATGCAGTAGAGCCTCACCAGAAATTCCAGTGATCTCCTCGACAAGGTCCGCAAGAACCGTTTTAGATCCAATGACGGTCCACTCGTTGGAGAGGAACATCACTTGGAGAGGAGCGATGAGTTCCTGGAGCGTCCACCCACGCGTGTACCAACGGCTCTGGCGGAAACGGGAGCTAATCTCGCGAGGATCATCGTCGGGAGGGACGTCCGCAAGGAAAGCGTAGCACATGGCTGCGTACCCGTACCAATGATACATGGAGTTGATGGCTTCGGAGAGCTCCGAGCTGCTCGACTTGTCGATGCAACACGAGTCTATCCAGATGTACTGGTATCCTGCCTTACGCGCGACCGCGCACGCGTCTCGGATCTTCGGGGATAGCTCAGGATCTTCCCAGATACAACTGAGGCTGGGTAGCGAAGGGTCATGGGAGGGTAAAGGAGGGTGTGGGTCTGGCGAGGGTGTGGGGGACTTTGAAGTTGTTGTGGGATCCCCGGAAGTAGACACGACTTCTGGGGGATGGGCTGGGGCAGGGTCGACATCGATGTCGCTACGGCAGGCGAAATTAAGAAGAACAAATCGCCAGATTCGCCTCAAGGTATGACCTGGACGGCATGTTCCGGTGCTCACTGCCGGAGGGTTGGCTTGTCCATAGCTGTCTGCAGTGGTCGAGTTAGTGGGATTGGACGCGCCGTCTGCGGCCACCGAGGGGAGTAGTACATGGAGTGTGTGGGCACTTGGAGTGGGTATGGGGGAGGATTCTTGGACGGGCGACAAACACGTGACTCCATCTGGCAGGCCTCTCGGAGACGACGAAAGGGGTGGTTGAAGGACCTCGGTACCACTTTGGGGACCTGCAGACTCTGGAGCGTAACGCTCCTGAATCTTTTTCAATTGGTCGTACGTCTGCTCGGGAGGGTCATGGTTCCAGGTATGCGACAAGATGGCATACACCGTGTCCTCATCTTTCGGGTCCTTCTCGACGAATTGTCCAGTATACGTGTCCAGAAGATGCATGGTGCTTCCTAAAGTATATAGCAAGGTTGGCGTTTGGCCACATGAGTGGAGTTTAGACAAGGAATTCACGTCGTTACGAACCGGATTACGAGAGCTTTCTCTAGCTAAGGGCAATAAGCACGGTGCGGATTGCGAGCGCGTTCGGACTATGCAAGTCCGTGTGGGGGTGCCAGCTCGCATGGTTTCGTGTTTCAGGTGCACAAATGCAGCAGGTGAGTCTCAGGGGACCGCTGGCACTCCTTGTGCTACGTGTGGGGAAGAGCGGGCTGAAGGCAGGGCGGAGCCCGACCACAACCCGCAACAAACTCCATTAAGAACAGCGTATCACTCCTCTGAAAGTGGAAAAACCTGATATACCGCTATGATGACGCAGATCGATCAAATACTTCTGATACATGGCGCGTTGAGGGCGGGCGCCAGCCCGGCCGATGCGCGCAGTTAACCTATCTACATGCATACTACTCAGCTTGTTGGTTGGACAATAGTAGCGGTTGGTGTGACCAGGACTGCCCGGAGGGCCCTATCATTTGGACAAGGACAGGCAGACAAAACGGTACGCGCGTGTAGCATTATGCCTGTCACACCGCCCGAGGATTCGTGAACTTTGTATGACAGCTGCCCGTTGCGACTCTCAGCTCAATGGATTGACCCTCCTTCCGAGTTCCTTCCACGGCTATCAATCGCTTCTATGATCCACCACAGCTTGTGTTAGGACACAAGTAACTTCAGCAAGCACCAGGACTGGAGAACGGAACCGTGAAAGAGAACGACTGAAGCGACTGGACTGATTGCAGGCAAATGCTGATGTGCGCTTCAGCGCTGATGGGTAGCAGTAGCACAAGACTTCTCAGAAAGACGCACCTGGTCATTGAGAAGCACCACGAGAGTGTGTCCTTGCAGGCATGCTGTATAAGGCGTGTACAGGAAACGAATAGGTCACCGAGTGCAACGCTTACGTCTGGACACGGCCCAGACGCATCTGAGGGCCTTGAAACCAAGAAAGCGGGTACGAGGAAGGGGGGTAACGGAATAATATATGATAGCAATGAGATAGCAGGGACGAATACAGTCACGGCCAGGAATACTGTAGTCTATTTGTTCTTTGTCGCCCTGCAGAGACAAACACAAGTCATTAACAGCATTCATCGGAGCAACAGCACTCGGATACGCACTTGTAAGTGAACCGTTTCCTGGTGATCGCAAACTCCCCCAGCTTATGCCCGACCATGTCCTGCGTCACCGTTACCGGGACGTAATCCTTCCCGTTGTGCACCATGAAGCGCAGCCTACGACGACCGCGTAAGAAGGTGACGAGGTCAGTATGAGGCTACAATGAGACGTCAGAGAAGAGCAGCGTACCCTATAAAGTTAGGGAGGATGGTACATGACCGCGCCTGCGTCTTGATGGCAATGTTGTTCTCGAGGGCATGCTTAAGGTTGGGAAAGGCGACGAAGAACGGTCCTGAGGGCAAAACAATGTCAGAAAACAACAAGACTTGATCATTGAGCACGCTGAGGACGCACCCTTCCACGCAGACCGGCCGCCCTGGACGACCGCCGTTGGCCACATCGTCGAAAAGCAGAGACGCAGACGCCCGCCAAGTTTAGCATCAGCTCTAGCCCGTCACATTGTCACGCATATGAAGTCAGAGCGTGACGACAGTGGCAGCTCCCTGGCGTCCTCGGAGACAGGTGCTCGAAGCAAGTCCGCTGCTCGCTCTGCTCTGCTCGTCGTCCTGCGTCCTCGCGGCGTGCCCGCACAACAATCTCCATGGTCCATTTTTACCCAGTGTTCTGACGCGACGACTCAGACCGCGCTCGACCATCCACTATGCCTCACGTTCTTTCGTTCGACAGCGCTCGCCTCGCGGTACGAGCGCCCCAGGCTTCTGCTGCGGAGTCTTCGGTGCGACCGACGACTGTTCTTGGTAGCCTCACGAACGCCGCGTCTATCGCGACGAGCTCAGAAGTACCCTCTGGCAATGGCGAAGTCAGTTTCACGGGGACTCCTACGCAACTCGTGGAGAGCCCTCCTGCGCTCAGCCCGTCCGGCTCGAGCACTTTCGACACGCCCTTTTTCCCGACCCCTACACAGACTCAAGCCTCCGGGGACGACCGGTCTCTAGGGCGCACAAAGGTATGAGCGCAATTTAGTCCAGCTGGAGCACGACGGAGGCTGACACTCCATGCCTCCGGCACATTCTTCCTGTCAGATCGCTGTCGAGGGAGCGCTCGTAGTAGTCGCCGCAGCACTCATCATCCTCCTCTCTCTCTGGAGGTACGTCCCACCCGTCTATGCACGATGGGCAAGACGCTTGTTTCTCGCATAGGGAGACTGGGTGAAAAGACGTCTGAGAGGCTGATGTTCCGCGAATGTTCCCTGGGTGACCGGGGGAGAGGGAACAAAATGTTTCCTGGGATCAAGACAGAGGGTCTGTGTATCAAGGAATGGGTAACGCTACGGATACAGGTTGAATTCGGAAACATTCGTGCTCTGCCATGTTCCCCGCCTGTTTCTATGAAGTTTTGCACATCTGATCACATGGGGCCTCTTGATTGTCTTCGGAAAACAGCCAGGAAACGTCTCGTTCTCCGTTCTTTCGAACACCCCGGGAACACTCGCGGGACATCAGCCCGTCAGACCTGTATAAACACTGTTTCCTATTCCGACAAGATGCGCTTTGCCCGTCGTGATGCAACCTCTCCTCTCGGCTGACAAACTTACCACCTCTCCCCCATCTAGAGCCGTCCGGATCCGCCGCAGCGGCCGCCCCATGCGGGACTTCTTCGTCGCCCATCCGCAGCCCGATGTCCCCCCACGGCCTCGCGCCGTCCCGCGCACGACCGGCCTCCCGCCTGCGCCCGCGCCCCCGTCGGCGTCCTCTACGACTCGCTCACGCCCCCCGTGCCCCTGGTTCACCGCGGGGCGTCGCTGGCGTATGACAGGCAGGGGCGGACGAGGCGCGTGCGTGCGGGGACGTGGACGCGAGCGGGCGCAGGGGGCATC